TTTCGCAAGAAATAGCTATCATCTGGCTGTCGTAGCTGGTTCCCGGCTTCTTGGCTTTTCGGCTTCTCCGCTTCCTAGCTTCGTGGTTTTTTTGGCTTCTTGGCTCTGCGGCTTCTTGGCTTTGCGGCTTCTTGGCTTCGTGGCTTTCCGGCTTTTTGGTTTCTCGGCTTGCAGCTCTGCGACGAAAGGGGCTACATTCCCGGTGGCGGGCAGGAAGCCTTGCTGCACTGCGCATGCACCTCGCAGGAGCTGCAAACCCTGCTGCTACATGCCCAAGCATTACGGAGGCTTCTCGGCGAGGCTGCACGTTTGCCGATGCCTGCGACGATAGCAGAATCCATTACTGTTCGCAGGGGACAGGCAGCGCATGCATACTGGTCAGCTCCCAGCACGACCCGCGTGATGTGCCTGGCCTGGCGAGCTACTTCCATGCCTTGCACTCACGTGCCCTATCCAGCCACACCACTTCGGTCTGTCTTTGCAGGATTTACTGACGCACGAGTTAGCCTTGTGGCGCCAACGGGTGGCGGAAAGTCCCGCGTTTGCATGCACCATACAAGATGGCTGGAACACAGATCTCTACGTCGCCAAATTGTTGCCATTCTTCTTGGCGGTGACATGTGAGTTTGCAGAGAAGGCCGGGATTGCCAGGGAGTTTCCACCTGCCCTGCTACTCACAATGGCTGGGTGGATGTCACACCGCCAGCTGCATGTATAATTCAACCCGCAAAAGCCGGAGCATAAGGTGAGGCCACGCATGTTCACCGTCCTCATTGCCGAAAGTAATTGTGGCAAGTCGCCGTTTTTTGAGCAATGTTTGGACCCCATCTTTGTCGACAAAGGCGACAACTCGCCGACCCTTGTTGCTTCCCTGGCATCTCGTTTCTTGACCCCCGGCCCTGGGAAAGATAAGACGTTGTTTGTGCAACAGTGCAGGAACAGCGATTTCGCCAAACGGATGAAGGCTACGTCTGGACACTTGTTTTGGACCAGTGAGGAGGCTTGGTCGTGCCTCGACGTGGCCTGGGCAACGAGCAAGGGCAAGACGCCGCATAGCCCCCTCAAAGTGCAACATTGCTTCTTGCAGAACACACAAAATGGCTTGCATTACGGTCCTATCAGCATCAACAGCGAACAATACTTTGTGCCTACGACCAATTTCGCGCTGTTCCACGCAGGGCCAGCAAAGGTGATTCACGATTCCTGGGGTCAGGCTTTCATGCGTACCTGCCCTTTCAATGGCATGGGCTGGGAGTTTCGGCCATCCTTTTTCTGGCCACGAAATCAACCCGATTGTAATCCCGAGCAACCGCAATGCACTTTTCAAGGCGCGGCACGCTTTATTTTGGACCTCCTGGCTACTATCAGTGCACTTGCAGGGCACACGCTAAGCCAGCGAAACCTGCATGAGAAACCAGTAGGGCTTTCCCCCTTGGCGCGCCAGTTGTGGCAGCAAGTGAGTACTTGCATGGAACAAGCAAATGTTCCTGAGTACGCAGCAGCCGCAGTAGGCAAGCACTGCTTCATGACCACAACACATGTGCTGGCGTGTCATTTGCTTGAACAAGCTTTTTCGCACGCAAAGAGGCACCATGCCGACCTCCGTTTACTCCGCGCTGGCGATGCCGAGTATCTGGCTTCGCTCGAGACGGCCCCTCTTTGTGGCGCAGCGTCCGTTCTCGACGATGGCTCCGTCTCCGACGACTCAGAAGAGGTTGGAGACTGGTTCAGGCTCCCGGCCACTCTACTCCTGGCAGCGCCAGAACATGTCAACATGATGCTGAGCAATATCATGACATGTTACAACGAGATGAAGCTGCCGGACTCGGAGAGGGCGGGGCGGTCTTTAAACGAGACTGTGGCCAGACAGCCCCGTCGCACGGGCGCTGAAACTAGCAGCGGCCAGGCTTCTCTGCCTCTCAGTCAGCAAGAGCAAGCTCTAGCAATCCTCTTGCAAGGGTTTCCTGGCAAAGAGGTTCTCACAATGACCGACCTCAACACTGCTCTGCCACGTCGCTTGGGCTTCCGCTCCAACCAACCCGCGTTGCAAAATCTCTTTGACTTGGCGCAGCGCCTCAAAGTTGGAGTCCGTGAAGGCGAAGCCAATCAGCGTGGGCGGCCACTTCGTTTGCGGCTTACAGCCGCCGCTGTGCCGCGAACGTCTAGGAGTCCCGCTGTGCACTTTGCCAGGCGTGTCTGGTTCTGCGCCGTCGATGTCCAGAGGTGGACCACATCGATCGGCAACGCCCATACCTGCCATGCGTGGCGCAGGCAAGCTCGCGCAAGAAGAAGGCTCAGGAGCGAAACGCGTGGTCGGATCGGCTTCTTCGCCTGCTGCCTCCGCATCTGCCGCTCCGCCCCAGCCAATTCCTGTCCCTGCACCATCGGCCAAGGCCAAAGCCAAGGTCGAACCAAAGCCGGAGAAGCGTGAGCGTATGCAGTTACGCGAGCCCATCTCCCTGGAAAGAAGATCCCTGACTGTGCGCCAGTCCAATCCCCCGTAAATGCGGCTATGAAAGATGTCGCGCCCGTGCACGGTCGCCCCTTCAACATCCGCGCCACAGTTGCGCCGCGCAAGAAGACATCGTCTTTCGGCTTCACTGCAACAACTGCCAGCGTCGCTGTCAATGGCGTGGGACCGCCACGATCAACAAGGCGCAGCGCCTGCTCGTTGCATTTGCGCGGGCCGGCCAGAAGCACACGGGAAGCACCGTGCAGGCCGCAAGCTTGGCGCGGGCTCCAAGGTTTTCCCTTGCTCAGAAACCTTGGCGTACAATGCCAAACCAAACCAAGATGCATTTCATAAGTTTATTTATGATCACTTCAAGAGCCTGCCGCTCAAGAAGAGCGTGCTAGTCAGATGCAAGCCACGAAAGCCGACTAAGCGCGGTCTGACTTGCGTTTTCGACTGCCGTTCGCATGCCGCCGACACCGAAGCTTCCTGTCCATGGCACGGCGCAGCCAATCTTCAGCGCTGCGATGATGCCAAAACAGGTGTCACAACGTGGGAGGTTCACTTGCGGCGCACCTCCAACAGCTGTCATGCCTCCGTGGACAAGCAGCTTTACAGCGCGCTCAGTTGGCCCGAACGTGAGCTGGCCCGGCGGCATGCGGCCAAAAGCAAAATGGAGGCACTAGGGGAGCTGGCTTCTTATGTCCAAGAGCGCCATGCTGAACAGCCAGAGGAGCCGGGTGAGCCAGGCCCACGTCCTCAGCGTAGCGCGCGTTTCGCAAAGTTCTTCAACAAATGCAAACGCAACTTGAAAGAGAAACTCGACAAAGCGGAGGTGGCCCCTAAACAGCCAGGCTCCACGCGCGAATGTGCCGATTTTGAGTTCTTAGAGAGTCGCTTGAATGCGAGCCTGGGAGGCTCCGAAGATACTCGCTTGCAGTGGACGGATGCTGAGTTGCGCGCCGTTGATGCTGAATTCTGAAGAAAGCGTTTGCGTGCCTCTGATATGTCCCAAGCTCCTGGCTTCCGTGCTTGATCTTGTGCCGCGGCCATGGAATTTGAAGCTGTCCACAGACGCTACATACCGGCTTCGCTTTGAGGGCTACGCGTTGTTGACAATGCGTGTCAACGTCAAGACCTGGTTTGCGGATGATGCCAATCATTATGCTTTCCGTAGCAGCTTCGTTCTATCCGTTGCAGTGGCCAACACTGAAGATGGCACTGCCTACACACGTCCCGCGCGTGCCACACTTCGAAGCGCGCAGACCCTGGGACTCGACTTGACCGCCGCCAACATACTCCAGTGGCGCGGAGACATGCGCTGTGGCATCGAGCAGGCGCGTCGTGGCACCGCAAGCAACTCGGCTAAGCGACTGGGCGCACGTCACAGGTGCAACTTCGGAAGGCCCCAGCGGTTTGCGTGGCCTCATAGCAAAGCATTTGTCGCATCAGAAAGTCGAGGATCTCGTGCCGTGGCTCTTACAATGGTGCCGCGTCTCGAAGCCATTTCCTGCCATGCTGTTCCATGTAGTCTGGACATGCGTGTTCGATGCTTTGGACAGCGAAGGGGAAGCCCAGACACGGCGTGCGCTGCAAAGGCAGTATTTCACAAGCTTGCCGCAAGACCGGGGTGGAGACATCTGGGATGCGCCCTGGACATCGGGGCTGGACAGAATAATGCCAGGCACGGATGCCGGGTCTGCCCCACAGGAATTGGCACAACCAGACACTCACAGAGAAGGGTTCACCGGCGTTGCGGGCAAAACCCCCTACGAATTGGCGTCAGTGCTAGCGAAGCACATCGTGTCACCTTTGCTGAGGAAGCTCCGAGACATGCAACGCCAGCGCAAAACATTTCAGGACTGGCCCGGAATCGGGCAGTTCCTTGGTCAACATATCCTGAAAGGCGACCGCGTCATGTCTCAACAGGGTCGCACAGCATCTCAAACCCTGCTCGCCTGGAAGCAGCGCCATCGCTTCGCCGATGGTGCAGGCAACGTCTGGTTGCTCTGCCCAACTTCCAAGCTCAAGGTTGATTGGCAGCGATCCAAGGGCAAGAAAAAGAAGGCCTACAAGCCTCGGGCACCAGTCGACCTGCGCTCAAATGCCGCCAAGCATTTCGCTGACATCGTGCTTTCGAAGGAGGCAAAGCAGGTGTATCGCGCGCTGGAGCACTTGCAAGTGTTCGATGGTCGCAGCATCACTTGCTGGCGCCGCTTCGTTCGTCTCGTCGAACTGGCGCCTTGCCGTGATGGGCCCGGTGGTGTGCCGGTATTGGCGGAAGCATGAGATTTGCTTGCCAGCGCACGATGCAAGGAATCACCACATGCACACTCTCTGTTTCAATTGCGCATTGCGCAACAGCCGCGCGTTGGGGCCTGTGCGAGCACGCCTACGTCCCACGTGTTACTGGAGCACGAGAACTGCATGAATGCCGCCCAGATACCGCGTCCGAAGCCAAAGGGCAGACCTCGCAAGATGCCATCTCTCCCGTGCAGACAAGGCGAGTCCCTAGTGCCTGCGTCGCAGCGCAGCGTTCAGGAAGCCGTTTCTGACAGTAGCCGCCCAAGTGCACGTGCGACCATGATATGCAGAGGAGCGCGAGCTGCAGCTCATGCTACAAGGCGCTCAGCTGGGTCATTTGTTCCCGTGCATGCGCAAGCAAGGCGCCACCGTAGCCGGCCTTCGGCAATTCTCGTTGGCCGACTACAGAGCCTTCTTCCAGCTGTCGGCCGGGACAGCTTGTGCCTTGCAAGCTTTTCTTACGACGTGGTCTGCACCCGCCGCCGCTGCCGCAGCTGCCGTGACTTGGTTGAGGTTGAAACCACTGCGCTACTGATCCGAACGGTTGAGAGTTGAGTGTTGCCAGAGTCATGTGCTCCGAAGGTCGACGAAGTGCATGAGGTCTCTTGGCCCAACATTTGCAGTGCCTCCCAAGTCTCTTTCTTTCCACTTCAACTTCAGAACCGCTGTAGCCAGCGTAGGCACAACAACTTTCTTCGTCGAGCGCGTCTGCCACAGCTGCCGCCACCGATGCCACAGCTGCCGTGACTTAGTTGAACTTGAAACCGCCCCAAGCCTCACTTCTGAGCCGAACGGTTGAGTGTTGCAACAGTCATGTGCTCCTAAGGTCGACGAATTGCTTTCTGCCTCTTGGCCCAGCATCTGCAGTACCAAAGTCTTTCTCTTTCCACTTCAACGTCAGAACCACCGTTGCCAGCGTAGGCGCAACAACCTTCTTCGTCGAGCGCGTCTGCCACAGCTGCTGTGACTTGCTTAACCCCAACCCAAACATGACCAACGTAACGTGGTTCATGGCCCGAGATTGAGTCGGGTTCTGTGTTTGGTCCTGTCTGCTTCTCCTTCGCCTTGAAAGATCCAAGGCCTTGCCGAAGACGAAGGCTCCGGAGTAGCAATTCAGAAAAGGAAACGTCGTGTCACGGTTGATCCTGTGTTTAGCTTTGCAATTCAGAAAAGGACACGTCGCGTCATGGTTGAATGCAGGCAGGCAATCCTGTGTTCAGTTTTTCGCCGTCCACCACGCAACCTGCCCAGGCCCAGCAACAGCGACGACAGTCGTATGAGCGGCTAGGTGGTTGGGCGCTACTTGACAAGCCGCCCCCAAGTGACTTGTGAACTTCAGTCAGCGAAGGCAAGGGAGACTGCATGGTAGTCTAGACTCTACACAGTCTAGTCCTGAAAAGAAGCAAGACGTAAGATAGACTGAAGAAGTGCAAGTAGTGTGCATGTACTGGGGTGGCATACTATGTATAGTATCGCATAAATTTTAGTTCACAACATGTAGTGGCAGATTCGCATCGCTGAATGCTCTTGCTGCAGACCGAGGTGACAGATGTCCCTTTTCCCAAGTTGAATCTTAGCAAACATGCTGTGAGACGGCGCCGCGAATGCGTCGGGGCGTTGCGGGACCACTGCAAAGCTGGTTTTGCAAAGGTCCAAGCTGCAGCCAAACATGGCTCAAGTCGACGCGATGACTGCAATTGACGGTGTCCGTTCGAGGGCATATATTGCCAGCTTGGTAGAATTAATTATGACTCTGATCCTTTGTTCTGAGCTGCTAACCACTGCGTGTCAGCAACATCAAGACATCATGACGCAAAGCAAGGCCAAGATAAGCCAAGCCGTAGCTTTGACAGCGCAGTCCACTCTGCCCAGTTCGTCTTGAGAAAAGGGCAACATTGGCTGTCGAAGAGAGGGAACTTAGCTTTGGAAAATATTCTTGTTTTCCCATGACATCATAGAGGTATGTAAGAATTTCCTAGTTTTTCTTGTTGATACGTGGAGAAAATTCGTGTCTATTAA